TCTCAAAAACAAAAGGAAATAAGTGCTTAAATAGTAAAAAAGAGGGATGTCCTAAATGATGGTGCCACAACCAAAGGTCTGCCTTGGTGGATGGTAACTGAATAGATGAGTGAGCCAACCCGTCGGTCTGATCGAGAATGTAGAGACCATGTTCCTCTCTACCACTGCCAATCTCTTTCTTCGTGATAAGGTCCTGGAAAAGACAACGATCAGGAAAAAAACGTCACGCTACAATTTAAATCACGAGTAATACGACTCAAAGATAAAAGATTAACACTAAAATTAGAAACATGGAGGACAGAGGATAAAGGAAGGAAAAAGGTGACATGAATTAAACCTTTCCTGGGTACAAACAACATAGTATTATCAGCAATACGCACTTTTTCTTGACCTAAAGAGGGGTTATACTCTGAGAATAAATTAGAGGAACCAGACATATGGTCGGAAGCACTAGAATCAATAATTCGTGGCATAGTGGCATGAGATAGCAATGCGTATGGGGAGGAAGCCAAGTTACCTGAATTGGCAAAGGAAGAAGAGGGTGTACCTGTGGCAGAAGTGGAGGTGCGACGGTCTAGCAAGTGGAGAAGAGCGATCTCAAAATCCGAGGCAGATAACCCCGAAACATTAGCAACCAGTGAGACAACGGGAGATAAAGGTGGTGGCTCAACAGTGTCTGAAAGATTAGCCCGAGCATTGGCCCCTCGACCTCTAGACGGCCCAGATCTACCCCCGCGAGTATTAGGACGGTCGCCTCGACCACCAGAAGGAGTCCCATATAGCTTTCAACAAGTCTCTCGGGTGTAGTGAGGTCTACGACAGTAGTCACATAAAAGATTATCCTTCTCAGATGAAGGACGAGAACCATGAGACACGCTCGCCAGCTCAGGAAGGCACAGAAACCAAAGCAGAACAATTAGTGGTGGTAGAAGAAAGCATCGCAGAGCGGCGACTCTCCTCATTCTGTACAAAAGCAAAGGCTTCCTGGAGAGAAAGAAGCACATCCATGCCAAGTACTCTGCTCCAAACCGGATTATACTCCACATTTAGGCCTTCCAAGAACTTGAAGACCCGCTCTTGGGCCACAAACTGCCGGTAACCAGCAGAATCAGTGGGACAGACAGGCTTGTAATCTTGAAGGTGATCAAGCCGCTTCCATCCATTGCTAAGAAAGGTAAAATACTGGAGGACAGTCTGCTCACCTTGTACCGACTTTTCAATGGAACGACGTAACCCGAAGGCTTGTGAGAAGATCCCCTTCCTGGAGTAAGTAATAGCTATAGCCTCCCAAATATCCTAAGTAGTGTCTATAGACAAGTAGCCCTCACTAATCTCAGGTACCATAGAATGTATCAACCAACCCATGATTAGGGAGTTGGTAATCTCCCACTGGTCATAACTAGGATCCGGCTGGGTGTCTGTATCTGTCCATCTACATACTCCATCTTTCCTCTGTTCTTCAAAAAAATAATCAGACTCTGCGACCAGGCTAGATAATTCTGACCATTAAATAGAGAGGTTGTGATCTTAAGGTCAGGGTTAAGGTTGTCAATCATAGTAGGAGGTAGAATGGAACTCTTGCTCTTAGGTGGGTGAAAAGTAGTGGATTCACTAAGGGAATCAGCCATGGATACTCTTCTATTTAAATCTCAAACACAATGCCAATCACAAACCCGGAAGATAATAGTGGAAGGAAAGACACAACTACCACGATGAAAGCATAAAAAATTAAGAACTCATGTATACTTTTTTTTTTTTTTTTACTGCATTTTTTTTTAATTTATTTATTTATTTATGAAGAAAGAAACATTTATTTATTTATTTATTTATTTATGAAGAATGAAAATACCAACGAAACAGAGAGGTCAACTCAAACTGGAAGTGATCTAATGGACCTCCAAGGCTGCCGACAAACCTATACGAAGCAAGAGAAGGTGCCGACCTAGAGGAAGGAAGAGCAGGCTTCGGCTGCTCTAGAGGGGAGTTGACAAACCTTCGGCAGCCCTAGGTGAGAGCCGACAGACCAAGAGGGACCTTCGGCTGGCCTGGGTAGGAGCCGACTTTCCCAGACAAGGATTTGAGTGGCCTGGGTAGTCCTTCGATGGAAGCAAGGTGATCTTTGGTTGGTCCAAAGTTTCTCCTAACTTCGCTATGATACCATATAGGTTTAGAGAAGAGAAAGAGTTAGGGAATAGGTTAGACCTTATCTCCTTTTTATATTGATAATAATGAGTAATTACAAGAATGACATAAGACATAAATTATGGGCCAGCCCATTATACATCAATCAAGGTAAATATTTTTTCCTATTCTAACACTAATCTAGTTTTAGAAACTTAAGGTAAGTAGTGTTTTTTCAAAGTTAGGCTTTGGCTCACTCTTCTCCCCTATATGTGTGTAGGTGAAAAAGATGATTGTGGCTTGTGCCAGCTTTATACATGTGTATATGACGTGAATATTTGGATGATTTGCCTTCTTAAGATAGAAATGTGTTATGAGGACCTTTTTATATAGGTGGCTTGTTAAATGAGATGCACATTGTTGTTGTCCATTGTGACTAAGTCAGAATGTTGTAACAATAAATAAAGTAGTGGTTGTTTCCATTTCATGTATCTACGTACCAGTTGTAAATGGATGCCATGAGATTAAACATGTTAAAATATTTGAAGGCTTCCGCTATTTCTAATGATTTTACCCAAAATTTTAACAGGAGTGCTATTGAATTGTTCGGGTAAGCCTTTGGTAGTCTGTGACTATTGGCTGGTCACTATATTTTAGTTAGGAGTTGATGGGGTTGTGATGTAGCTTATGTTCGTTTCAGTGTGTATGCTGAGAAGCCTCAAAGCTTCTAATGGGGTTGGTTACTATAATGATGCTGTCTCATTTTGTTTGTTGAGAGTTTTGGAAGGTAGGTTGGCTAGGTGGGTGGGTATAGTTTGTTATGCATTTGGGAGTTGGGTGAAGATTGTAGTAGGGGGAGGGAGGGGGCATGGACACAGTCACGGGCACGGTCATAGTCACACTTGCACTACATTTGAGCCAGAGCAGGGCCACGATGCATGCATTGATGCTGGTGTCTCCCCAAGACCAAAGAATATCTTTGTAGCATTTCGAATATTAAACCCAACTCGTTTATGTTGATTGGTACCTATTACTTAGTACTTGTGTTATTTTTAGTCTCTTGGGAATGATAGGTCTACATTTGACCCCTTTTATTATTATAATTAGAACCCCCTTGACTAATATTACAGCATTGATTGATGTGTCATCATAATGGTTGCGTAAGATTGGACCAAAAATCTCGATTCACATATTTGTTTCTTGAGTAGCCTTCACTCTTGTACCATTTTCTCTCTACACACTTTGAATCTTGATGTGAGGCTAAAACCATTGGAAAGCTTATTTTCGAGGCTTCGATTTAGACACAACAATGGCCCAAAACGGAGTTCAGACGAGGGAATTATGCCTGTTCAAAGTTTAGGCACCAAAGTTATCAGCATAGTTCACTCGAGCGCACTTTTGACCACTCGAGCGGTCCATAGATCCAGATAGCTCTGATTTTCAAAAATAGACTGAGATCTTGCAAGCACTCATCCATCGCTCGAGCGCACAATTGACTGCTTGAGCGGTCTGCTCCAAAAAACAAAGATCCAGCAACCCTTCAATCACTGCTCGAGCGCAACTTTGGTTGCTCGAGTGATCTATTCAAATTCAATGTGTGAAAACTGTACCTTTAGCCAGACTTGTGAGCCCCAACTTTTATGCTTGCACTATATATATGGGCCTTAGATATTTCTCTCATTTCTCTCAACTCTCTCTCTTTAAATTTTTTTTCTCTCTCTTCTTTCTAAAAACCTAACCCAAACCGTTACAAATCCCTCATCCAAACCAAATCAAGTGGGAATTTCACCCTGGTTCTTTAGACAAAAGTGGAGAGCGTGTTGAGCGCATTTTCGATCCGACTTCCTCGAAAAATTCAAATTTCTTCCTTCTCCCTCTCAATCCCTGAGGTAGGGATTTTCTTATCCTTGTACATGTATTTTAGTAGGATTATGTGGTATTTTGTTAGTTATTGTTGTTCGAGAGATTAGGGTTTTGTTATTATTAATATCATTGCACAAATTGGGGGTTTACTCAAATTTTGGAATGTTTCCTCAAACTATTCTTTTATAACTAAAATATGGCATATGAATTTATGGATTTTTGCTCAAATTGAGAAAATCCCAATTTTTCTAAAATCCTAGGAGTGTGGAAGATGAGGATGTGATTTGTGTGTTGAGGAATTTATGGAAATTCTTGGAAAACTATGAATATTTGGAAAATTTTGAGGAATGATGAGATTCTTGGAAATCATGTTTTATTTTGAAAATATTGTGGATTGTTGAATTATGCTCTAAATATTACCATATTGGAATATTTTGATAGAGATAATTGTTTAGGCAATCGGTGAAGGATTGTGTTGATGTGTTGTAGAATGAATATGAAATTATGAGAATTGAAACCATTTTTGCAAGGCATGCATGACATTGACATATTCATGATTTTATGTTTTTTTATCTCCTATTGCATTTGAGGAACGTGTTATGTTGGGTCGTTGAGAACTTTTTGGAAAATATTGAGAATTGGGGTAAATACTTTGGTAAATGTGATTAAGGGGTGTAGATATGATTGTGAGAATTAAGTTGGCTTGTGGTTCTCAATGAAAGTCTGAAAAATTGCACAAGGTAGGATCCAATTTCCTTCTGGTTAGTAGCCGGTAAAGTAGAGTATTTGGTAGTTCTTTCATAGACTACTGGCAGACACGTACTTTGGGATTTTCAGTGTAGTATTTACCACCCAAATGGTTTTGATGAAATGAAGAATTTGCATTGGTTGTGTTTTGGAAAGTGCATGGCATGTCATTGCATTTCATGATCATGATTATGTTAAAACTTATGCACTTTGTTAAGATTATCTCTGTTGGGCTTTATGCTCATCCGTTTGTGTAAAATCATTTTCAGGTGTTGACAGTGTGTCTTCGCTAAGATGAAGGCCATGGAAGATTTTGGGAGCTAAGACTCATTGTTTGTTATTTTTGTAAAGCCTAGTGCTTAACTTGTATTTGGGTGGAAACCCTTTTATTAATTGTAACAAGGCTAGGCCCTTGAATTGTATAAGCCCCTTGAAATGTATAAGCCTTTAGGGCATTTATCTTGGTTATTGTTCAATTTTATAGGTTTTTAGGGTTATGATTGTACCAATGTATGTAATTAACTTTTGAAATCTCAAGGCAATGTTTGGAGAAATATATATATATATATATATATATATATATATATCTAATGAAAGAGATTGTTTTATTTAAGAATGTGGATACAAACTGGTGATTTTTATCAACTTTCTCGTGTATATGATTTAATCAGTTGATGGAAATGAATAGTGAACATGGTTTATATGCTATAAAACGTGTTCTATAAAATAGAGGGCGTTACAATCTTTGTGCATCACCAAGTCCCAAGAGAAGGCTAATTGGAATCCTCTAGTTGTTTAGACACATTCAGGGTGCCATAGGGCTCTTATATATAATGTTTTTACATTTTTGTTTTTCTTCTTTGGGTCCAAATGATATTAAGAGATTAAGGGTGATTCTATTTGCACCTAAAAAATATTAAGTACACCTAATTAAAATTTTGAAATTTTATTTCGGGAAATTCTATTGGCACATCTTCAATACTCTCAGTACACACTATTACTCTCTTTTTTGATATTACAATTTTGTCCCACAGTAAAATTACCTTTTTGGACAAATTTCTAAACCCTAATCTCTGAACATGCACCATCATCATCACCAGCCTCCGCCATCTTCGGCTGCAATCCTCAACCATCAACACCATGACTCCTCTCTCCCACTACCATTGCAGGCCAATCTCCACCGCCGGCCATTGCTATCACCAACAATTCCTATGACCATAACTAACAAAGAGATCTAGAAAACACAGATCCAGGGTTTGAAGAAAACAAAAGAAGAGAATAGATAAGACTAGCTATGACGGATGCAATGGTTGATGCAACTGACTTTTCACCTGCATCTGTTGTCCTCAAGCAACCACGGTGACGACTTCCCTCTCTGGCCACCATCATAACCCCTATTGCAACCTTCCAATCATGCTACCCCACCACCCATCGCCTTTCCAACTACTGCTATAACAACTCACATCGTCGGGACCCATCACTATGCACAGAGAGAGAGAGAGAGAGAGATCTAACGTTAGGGTGTGAGAGGCTAAACGAGGCTAATGGCGGAGATGGGAAAGGGGGCTGCGACAAGAGAGTGAGAGAACGAAGAGCAGTGGAAGGGTGAGAGCCGGAGGCGAGAAGCTGCGACTGCGATAGTGACAGATGCTGCCAGTGATGGTAATGATTTGGATTAGGATTAGGGCTAGGGTTAGCGTTTGGGTTTGGGTTTGTTGAAGAAGAGGGTAGTTTGGTATTATTTAAAAAATAAGGGTGCATAGAGAGATGAAATCAAACTTTTCAATTTAAATGTGGTGTGAACTGAGTTAATAGGAGAATATATTGTTAACTGAGAGGTTTAGTAGTGTATAAATAGAATTACCCTTTTAGTTCATATTATACCCTAATGTAAATTTACTAATGAGGACAACACATATTAAATCCTAAAATAAATTTTTTTTTTCTCACATAGTACACCCTAGTTACTTATACGTATTCTTCATCTTCTTTCTCAAATTTCAATTTTTTTATTTTTTTTTTTCTTCTTCTTCTTCTTCTTCTTCTTCTTCTTCACTTTAAAATTCCAAATCACCCTATCAAAACTCACCGTTATCATCATCATTATTTCTTATTCTTGGGGAATAGAAGAAAGTTCGAACAAAACCAAACAATCGATGAAAATAATAATGAAAACTATTTTTTGAAATAATCCATCAAATAGGAGGTAAGTATTCACATAAATATCAAAGTACAATTTTTTTTTTTTTTTTAACATAAAAACGAATTCAACTTGTTTAACGTCATTGTTGTTCGGATTGTTAGATCCAAACAAATTCAACATGTTCGGATCTGAAAGTTTGAACCCTAATTTTTCAAATTTAAAGTTTAACTTCTCAATTTGTTTTCGTTCATTCAATTTTAAGTTTGTAGGAAGAACCTGATTCACTCTATGGTGTGAGCGAGCTCCAACAGATGACTGTGGTCGGTGGTTAGCGCAAAGTTCAAGCTTCAAGCTCGGTAAATGCAAATGTAAACACGAACGTGAAGTTTTCAATTTTCAAGTTCAAACGCAAAGTTCACCTCTCGTTCTCCTTCGTTGTTCTCCTTCGTTAGTGCTGCCTTCACCGATGCCATGTTCCCTGTCGTATTCTTTATATTTGAACAAGAGAAAGGTTTTTGAAAATTTTTTCAAATGATTTGAGTTTTTCAATTTGTTTATTATTTGGGTGTACCTTAAGGGGTAATTTGGAATAAAAAAATATAGATTGTATTAAAAGTAAATTATAACCCTAAATAATTGAACAGAGTGTACTAAAAAATTAAACGTATTTAATGATTTTTTGAGTGTAAATAAAATCCCTCAGAGATTAACAAACTCTTTTTCCATTGTATCGTTAGACATGATGACCCTATGGTCTGTGGTCAGTGTGTTGTTTGGCTATTGTTTTTGGCATTTTTATTTTTTATTTTTTTTATTTTTTGGGTAGTAAAAGGAGCTTCATTGACTACAGAACCAAATAAAAGAATTTATTTTTCTTTCTTTTTTCTTTTTTTCTTTTGTGAAAAAAAAAAGACTACAAATTATGATACTAGAGGGCCATGACAAATATGTATACCTAACTCAATTCAAAGTAAAAAATTGGTATCAGTTCTAATTCATATAACTTGAGCCCCAAAAAAAATAAAATAAACATTAGGTCTAGCAAAAAAGCCCCAAGTCCATATCTCATTCACATAGAGAGTTTTTGGCACCCACGCTAGCCTCTTGTCTTGCCTCCATGACACCATTCAAATAACCAAATCTGAACAGAAGGCTAGTGTACAGTACATTGTACTATAATTCGTGAGGGTGATACTCATGCTGTAGTATCACTCCATCATTGTGAAAGTTTTGTTCATGATATGCCCCGTCAGGTTCCTAGTTTCATAATCAAAGCTAGAAGATATGGCCGACGTATTATTGTTACCCTACACTACCGATTCTAGGACTGCACATTAAACATAGAAGCAATATATTATTGTTATCCTACACTATCAATGCTAAGACCACAAATTAAACACAGAACTAGGGACACACATGCAAAAATGATTCAATAAAATTTGAAAAGATTTGTTGGTGGGATTTACTTTATATTCTTGTAGAATTATAGAATCATAGAATCATTTTTGGAAAGAAGCTGTTCCTTATGAAGTGAAGTTCTTCATGTGGTCCTTAGCTCATGAAAGTTTCATGACTAATGATATTCTCCAAAGGAAAAGGCCCAATCATGCTTTTGGTCCTCAATGGTGTATAATGTGTAAGAAGGATGTAGAATCGGCGGATCACTTATTTCTACATTGTCCGGTGGCTTTTGCACTATGGCAGTGACTCTTTGGTCTTTGTGATGTACAGTGGGTTGCTCCGTGGGAGAGCATGCATATGTTGCTGGTTTCTTATGGAGGGTTTGGAAGCAATAGGAAGGCTAAAACATTGTGGTCTTGCATTGTTTTTGTGATATTTTGGATCGTTTGGTTGGAAAGAAATAATCGGATTTTTTAATGAGAATGAAGTAAATGAGGAATCTTTGTGGGATAGGATGAGACATATGGCATTAGTTTGGGCTTGTGTGTCTTCCCCTTTCAAAGACATACCCTTGTTTTTGATCTCTAAGGATTGGGCTATTGTTTGCCATACTTAATAGTGGATTGTTTTATGTTGTAGTTTTTGTTTCTTCGACCTTTCTCTTTGTTTTTTCTAACTTTGTAGTAGGACTTCTTGTCCTCCCTTTGTTTTCATTTTTGTTTCAATTAAATTGTTTTGTTGCCACTCAAAAAAATATATATATATATATATATATTTGTGTTTGATTTATGTCTGTGAGGGGTGGATTCGCAATACTCCTTTGTTCTAAACAGACCTTTGTTGGATCCTCGCTTCAATACCTGAAACAAGTAACACTCCGGTCGATGTTGTCGAAATTAGCACTTTGATGGGCAAGTTAGATATTTGTTGAGAGAGAAAATGCGTTAGGTATTCAAAGAGTAGAGCAAGTTAGGGTGATTAGGCATATCTTTCTTCTTCCAGTTACCTTCTTTATATAAAGGTCATGTGTAGATTTTTCTTCACGTAATTTGATCATCATCATTACCATACAAGTCCCTATTACACCTCCAGAAAGGGACGACTTGGGCCCACTTTGATTGGGATAGGTTGCCGAATTGTCCCTAGTACTCAGCATTAATGTTCTTTGATTGTCGGCACTATCCTCTGGGCATGTCACCTAGTCGGTGAAAGGATTTACTTGGCATCGAACCTCTGTAATCTAGTGGACCTGGTTGAACTTGGGTCCATCTGTGATGGGCCTGGGAGTTCTCTGTTTTCCAAATGTGCAATTTCGATACTCGGCTCACATAATTGCCCCCCAAGCTCCTGGTCGCTTCAAGTACCAAGTGGCCTGCGTGCTTAGCTCGCACTAAACCTTTCATTGGCTAATCTTCTTGACGGGTGGGCTGCTTTATCTTTGACCTGTCTGATGGGATCCCACAGAAGATACATAAACTTCCCACCCCTTCATACTTCTTGCATACGCTTCATTTAGTGCATTTTCAAAAAATGAATTCTAAACGCCCTTTCACTTCCAAAAACCTCTCCATTTTATGTAATTCTTCATTTCAATCCTCTACATTGAAGTTGCTTGGCAATCCCTCCTCCGAGCAAGCCACAAACTCTTCTTTAAGTCTTCTAAGCCCCTTTCTTTTTCCATATCGCACTTTCAATTTCATTTCTTCTCTTTAAGTTTTTTTCCGTGAGTGTTTATGGCGAATCACCTAAAGGAGCTATTTGTCTAAGTCGAAATTTGTTTCCTTTCGTTGCCACTTCAAGATCCCAGACGATGTTGAGTTGGAACTCATCAGTGATGCGAGCACCATTGCTTTGCCGCTACTGGCCATCGTTGAGGGGGGATTTCACTTCCCCTTCCATTCCTTGCTTCGAACTGCTCTTTGTTACTAGGGTTTAATTCCCTCTTAGCCTAACGTCAATGTTTTCCATATTATCATAGGAGTCATGGAATTGAACAACATTCTAGGGATCAACTTAGGGATG